TTCCGACATCACTTCGTCCTTGGGTTGCCCCGGGGCCATATTCCTTCCTATTCCTTTTACTCGGTCTTCCGCAATTCGTTCCTCTTCTCCCACCGCCGCTCGCTGCTCCGCAGGGTTCTAATTGCCACTGGCAGTACCCCTACCTCACTGCGTACTACGCCTAATCACCCTTGGGCAGCCGGCCGCTATCGACATGTTCTATTAACTCTATTGTGATCCTCTTTTGGACCGCGATTCCTGCTGTATTCTCCATTATTGTCAACAGGACACCGACGCCAGAGGCGTCTTAGCCACGAGAAATCACAGACTCTCCCTATCTTTGATCTCAAAGCTCTACCTCGTACCTCCGTGTGTTACGATCGCGTTTATTTCATTAATACCGATGCCGATGGATACATATATTTGCTCGCAGCATTAAGCTGCAATTGACAACGGTACTCTACACCCTTGTCATCGGACATTTTCATGATATTACGATGATATTCCGAGGATTACGAATTTCGATTTCATTCTTTCTTTTTATGGATAATTTTCATACCATCATGCTCTTTTATACGCGTAGACGTGAAGGTAACCAATCTTTATTTCAATAACAATAATCGTAATTACATTGAAAGATGACTCGATCCAAGAGTCGAAACATTACAATAAATAGCGTGTGCATTGAGATCGACAAACAATCGAACTTATTACTTCGCAATATTTCCGGATATTCGAAAGTAATTATCGATAATCGTAGAACGTGTAGCCAGATTGTGCAGGTTGTGCACCGCACACAGGTGCTTCTCCAAAGGGCCGCGATTCGCCACACGAATTTGTGTACTTTTTATGCATTACGACTACGATGTATTGTTGTGTACTACGATGTAAAATTGAAATGTTAAAGATGAAGTGAGAAATAGGAAAAATATATCCACTATTTGTAAAGCACAATTTATTGTATTAGAATTCAGTTCATAAGTATGCAGAACGCATGGCAGAAAGTCTTGTTGGAAGAAATTTAAATGTTAAAGATAAAGTGAGAAAATTAAAAAAGCGCCACTATATTTGTTAATATGTCTATAATACTTTTAATATCTATAATCTAAAATTCGTCCACTGTATATCGGTAATATTTTTAATATGTGTATAATCTAAAATAATCCATATGATATAATATGAAGAAATGAATTTTATAGTTTTGTGATTTATATACATAGACTCTTTATTTTTTTAATTGAATAGAGGAAAAGAAAAGGAGAGGGGGTAAAGAAAGTGAATATATATATTTCATATGATATTAATTTATTAATTATGAACATTTATTCATTCAATTCATTAATTAATATAAATACCAGCAAATTTGTTATGCACACAGCATCATCTTATGGTTCAATTATCTGTAACACATACAAACCATATTTTAGTTGTAAATTAACATAGAGCTTAAAATAAAAATAGAAATCATAATTTTCATACTAACGTTATATACAGATCACTTAATTACTTCCATTTTACACTCTGTCAGGTCACAGTATATTTTAACTGACTAATTTCAATAAACCTGTCAAACTTTAAAAACAAAACAAAATTCTTATTGGGAAATTACTCTTGTTCAATCACAATACTAGTGGAACAACAAAAGCGGACAATTTTTCCATTAAAGCAATACCTACTACTAAAATACAAATGGGAGATCACTGTTATAAGCTTAAGGCAGCAAATTATTTGCTTTATGAAACAAGCAATTCATCCCTTCGTTTCCTCTTATTGGAATGACTGTCGCTGCTTATATCAATAGAAGACTGTAGCAACAGAAAATGCACAAGAATTTACAATGATAGTACATATATTTTAAGCGCACAAACCTACTTATCAAATAATGGCGAACACTATCTACTTTTAATTGTGGATTTCATTTACTCTTTTATTGATGATGTTATATGATCCTCTTCTTGTTGTAATAGATAAAAAATATGTCGCACTGCTAAAACAACTATGATGGTTTTTCAATGTGTACACACACGTATTACAAGGCAACATTATATATGTAGTAGGCTCTTGTGCATTATTTTTTACAGTGTCTGGTGAAATTTTTACCTTCTGTCTTAATAACCTACATCCAGTTGTTCCTCACTGTCACCTATATCTGTCAAACGAATCTGTCAAACGATACACACGTATTTCTTATGCCGACCGATGAGATCTGCTGAGCGATTCCGAGAGTCGACGAATCGACGAATGGTCTTAGCTCCTATTGGCTAACTGTTGACGAAAAATTCCTTAACGAAATAAAACCGGGAGAACAAGAACAAGTCGTTTTTGTCAGATCATGACATGATATTACGATATCTCAGTTGTACGTGAACCGATTTTGTTGATTTTGGGTTTATTAAAAAGCTTACATGCGATTTACATTTAAAAAATGCATTTAAATTTAGAAAATATTGCAGGCGTGATGTGATATTAATGAAAGAAGTTTCAAGTTAGGTTGGAATCGCCGGTTTACGAGTAAAGATACGTGGTAGCATCAGCGCCAGTACAGTATACAGGGTGGCAGATAATTTTTCATGCACTTGGCGCCGAGACGCTACCGCGTATCTATTTAGTTTACGTATTTGAAAAGTGTGATTAAATATAAAAGTAACATAAGTATTTTTGCAATTCTTAGTTTATCCGTAGATTGCTCATACTTTATTCGCTATTTTTTATTCGAAAACATGATATCAATCTAAGCTGATTAAACGATATAAATTCTTGTTGCGTCAGACGTTAATCACAGTAATTTTGCGTTCAATTATCTTTACGTCATTTGTACGTATTTATGCGAATATTATACAATAAGTTCAGTCATCTGAAATTCGAACCACGAAGGTAACAATAGTTTTCTATTACGTCTCATTTAATTTGTCTGTATCGTATCGTCTCTTTTACCTCGATCTCTTTTGGTAATATTGTTCTTGGTAATGTCAGCATATCGCAATACACAGCGAGCGTAGCTGTCGGTATTTTGCGATCGTTAAGCTTGTGATGTATACGATATGTGTATAGCTTTCTACGTATATACGAAGCATTGCACTGCCTCGTAAAAAGTCAAACGTATTACACGTCCGCGCCACAACTCCGACCACGTTGACATTTTGTGTATAAGCACGCAATATAATTAGCGGCCATAACCATAAATAAGATAATTTGCATGTATTTTGTATAATAAAGCTATTTTACGCCGAGGCACGAATCTCGTGTTTTATGGCCATGGTATAAAAAAAGGAAAAGAAATAAATGTTCCGTGGAGATACGCAACTACCCAACGCGAAATCAGGAACGCCGCAAACACGTTTTCATCGCTGCTACTGACCGCGGGTCGCCGGAATTTATAAATTCTAATTGCTGACGGAGCAACGTTCGCCCCTCCGCTTCAACTTCATCACTTTTTGCAATGTGGGACGAAATATCGAAAACAATTGCAAACGCATACAATCGAACAAGGAGATTGAAAGTAGCCCTAAATCAAATTGGGATGTTTTCAAATAAAGAACAGTACGAAAGTTGAATGGTTGTTCCTATAGTTGTGTTTGTATATTGCGAGAAATGCTGTAATGTTCGTCTTAGCTTTCTTAAACGCGTCGAATTTATTGAACGATAATAATAATGCACCGTTCAAATGTATAATACCTCTGCTAGATTTCAAAGTTGCGTCAATTTTGTAGACGGGTGTGCGCCTCAATTCAAAGCTACATCAATCTTACAGATGTAAGACTCTAGGTGAAAGAAAGTGATCAGTTCAGAAATATAGATAATTTAATGATCTTGTTCAATGGTCGCCACAATACTGCCTTTTAGTCAGCCACGCTTCAGCGGCTACCGTTAAAGACATATGACAATCTGCAATGCAGTGCAGTATCACGCAAAACATACGTAGGACGGTCGAAGTGCCCTATCACGATTCTATTACACAGATGATAATGCATCGTTTCAACGTGTTGTATTCGTAATAGAATATGATAATGTCTCCTCAAATGTGTAATGTCTGCGCTTGAATTCATAGGTACATCAATCTTGTAGACGGTTGCGCACTTGAAATCAGAGCTACATCAATCTTATAGTCGATAATGCATCGTTTATACGTGTATTGTTCGTACTAGAAGATGTTATTTCGTAGCCTGGTTGTGTAATAGCTGCTCTTAAGATCAAACTTCCGTCAATCGTGTAGATGTGTTCGCGTACGAAATCAGAGCTCCATCAATTTTCCAGACATTAATGCACGTTTCGAACGTATCATGTTCGCATTAGAATGCCCGCCACATCTTTCGCTCGGTCAATTTATTTTAAACGTAGACCGTGAAACGTAATCGCATATAATACATACATAATCTTAATTATACATACAGGGTGCGGCTGAATAACATGTCCTAGTGGACACGAGGTGGTTTCTTACGAAAAAATAAGAATAAAATATGGAATAAAAGTTTTTCATTTAAAATTTAGTTTTCGAAAACATCGAGTTTGAAAATCTTATTTGTACGTATGCTGTTACGGCTGAGTTACGGTTGGTCGAGCATCGTATAACGCGTATCATGTTGTTTGCAAACAATATCTACTAAGGATTTAAATATGACCGAGTTCAAGAAAAAACACACAGAAGACTTTTAACGAATATTTCATTTTATCTATTACGTAACTTAGCCGTAATAGCATACATGCGAATAAAATTTTCAAACTCGATTTTCTCGAAAATTAGGCTTTAAATGAAAAAATTGTATTCCATATTTTGTTTTTATTTTTTCATAAGGAATCACCTCGTGCCCACTAATATATGTTATTCGGCTGCACTCTGTATATAATCGTTTCAAGTAAAATCAGATACTTTTTGGAGTATCGTTTCGGTTTACAGTCAAATTTAAATATGTTTATATTTGCAATATTTTCTAAATTTAAAGGCATTTTTCTGATGGTAATTGCATATAAGCTTTCTAATAAAACCAAAATCAACAAATTCGGTCCACGTAGAACTGAGATATCGTAGAGTTCTTGTTCTCCTTATTCTAATTCTTATACTTCAAGGAATTTTTCGTCAATACTTAGCCAATAGGAGCTAAGGCCGTTCGTCGATTCGTCGACTCTCGGAATCACTCAGCAGGACTCGTGGCGGTCGCTCATGCCGCTCATTCATAACCTGTCAAGACACTTTTTACACTATTTTTTACACTATTGAATTATTCTCGTTTTGTAATTAAAGTGTATACTTTTTAATGTCTTCGTACCAACAAAATGTTTTTAATTTAGTAATAAATTGCAGCTAGAGTTGTAAAGTATTGATCAATTTTAATTACAAGGTAAGTTGCCAAAATTTGAATTGCCAGATATCTTTATCCATACCAGAAAACTGTTTTTAATTTAAATTTATCCATATCAGCAAACTGTTTTTCATTTACACTTTTTATGTAGAACTTATAGAAACGTAGGGGACTCACAAACTTGGAAGTTGTCCTGATAAGGTTATAGACAGAGATAGAATTGTTAAGTGTCGATCAAAAGACAAGATTACAAAAATTATGGCCGACTGCTTGGAATGTAGAGCTCACCATATTAGCGAAGTAAGTATGCTGACAACATATCTCCTTTAACATTTTCCAATCTTTTGGGAATATTCCTTTAAAAAAGACCAACAACAATTTCAATGCTTGTCATTAATTTGATTAGTTACTCATTAACAGTATTTTAATTTACTGATAAACATCTTAGCTTAATTTTTTTATTCTAACATAATAAATTGTGCATTAGAAATAGTGGATATCTTCATTCATTTCTTTACTTCATTAACATTTAAATTTCTTGCAACAAGACTTCTGCAATGTGTTCTGCCTACTTTTGGAAAAACTTAAAGGACGGACACTGGTCTCTTTCCTATATCTGGCTTCAGTCACATTATGTATAGTAGACTCTACGCTTATTATAATAAAAGACTGATGTATTTTTATTTTAAGCTTCATGTTAATTTGCAACTAAAATATGGTTTGTTTATGTTATTTACAAATAAAATTAATATCATATAAAATATATATATTCACTTTCGTTACCCTCTCTCCCTTTCTTTTTATCTATTCAATTAAAGGGTAAGGGCGCTGTAGGTCCCTCAAAAATAAGCTAAGTTCGAGAATTTTTTTCAGAAATGTGTTTAAAGCATTGAAAATTTTAAGGACGGTATTTTACTAAACGCATATTAATATGTAACATGTTATAAAAGTCCTAATGGACTAATATAAATCGTCGAATAAAAATCCGAACATATTATTATTATGGTATTCACAGGAGAAAAACACGCTTACATCTTGCACTGCTCAGTATGTTGAAAAAATCATTTGAATTTAAAGATATAATAAAATACAATTTCACAGGTTGGATAAATCTGAAAGGTCTTTGCAATAATTGTGATAATTCAAATTCAAACACATAATGAAGAAAGTCAATATAACTGCTTCCAAACAAATTCTTATTGGGAAATTACTCTTGTTCAATCACAATACTAGTGGAACAACGAAAGCGGACAATTTTTCCATTAAAGCAATATCCACTACTAAAATACAAATGGGAGATCACTGTTATAAGCTTAAGGCAGCAAATTATTTGCTTTATGAAACAAGCAACTCATCCCTTTGTTTCCTCTTATTAGAATGATTGTAGTTGCTTAGATCAATTAAAGACTGTGAAAACAGAAAACGCACAAGAATTTACAACGATAGTACATATACTTTAAGCGCACAAAACTACTAAAACTACTAAATAATGGTTAACACTATTTACTTTTAATTGGGGATTTTACTTACTCTTTTATTAATGATGTTGTATGCTCCTCTTCTTATTGTAAACGGGTAAAATATAGCGCTATGGATGTACCATGACATGTCACAGTGGTAAAACTACTATTATATGTAGCTCTAATGCTTTACAAGGCAACATTACTGTCTTTTGTGCATTATTTCTTGCAGTATTTGGTGCCATTCATTTTTGGTTTCGATTTGTATTGTACAAACTGTTTTACAGTCAGAAGTATCATACAAAGTTTCTTTTTTTCCGTCGGCTGCCATAAGCGTCCTGACAAATGCGATGAAAAATCAAGAAATTCAAGTGACCATATCTAACAAACTAAATGGTGAATTGAACCCATATTTCACACAGGTGTGTATTAAGATATAAATTTTAAGTTTTCAAAGTTATGAGACGATCTTAACTGTTATCTAGAGACACGGTAGCGTCTCTACGCCAAGTTCATGAAAAATTATACAGCCACCCTGTATAACGTGGCACTACCGCTTATATATATCTTTTACAGGAGAGATGGTCCATTCTAACCTAAATTGAAATTTCTTTCATTAATATCTCATCACGCCTGCAATATTTTCTAAATTTAAATGCATTTTTCTGATGTAAATCGCATATAAGCTTTCGAGATATCGTAATACCATGTCACGATACATGCAAAAATATTACCGTCTTATACTTTTCCAGTCGATTTTTCGTCAACACTTAGCCAATAGGAGCTAAGGCTGTTCGTCGATTCGTCGACTCTCGGATTCAGTCGGCAGGGCTCGTCGGCCGGAATTGTAACATGGCTGCCGCATGTTCGTTTCTAACCTGTATAACCTGTCAGTTTGTATTTCTGACAGTTGTCATTTGTAACCTGTATAACCTGTCAGTTTGTATTGGTGACATTTGAACGCCGCAAATTGAATAATTATTTTAAAGGCTACGTGTAGTTTATTGTATTGTATTGGGAAGTATATGGTTATAAGTGATAATATATCTACCTTGTCGTTGTGAAAAGATATATATAAATTTGGTGTTTGAGTGTGCAGTTCATAATACAAATTTCAGTAAATGTTCATTTTGTGCAAATAAGAATAAGTGTTCTAATACAATAAATTGTGTTATAAATAGTGGATCACTTTTTTTATTTTCACTTCATGATAAACATTTAAATTGCTTGCAACAAGACTTTCTGTCACACATTCTGTGTACGTATGAACTGTAAAAAGAAAGTGAGGGAGAACGCATGGGCAGGATGTCTCACTGCAAGAAATTTAAATGTTAAAGATGAAGCGAGAAATGAAAAAAAGGGTTTCAGAAGTACGTGGAATGCATTGCAGGTAGTCTCATTGTAAGAAATTTATTAAATAAGAAATGAGAAATGAATAGAGAGATCAACTATTTCTAACGCACAATTTATTGTATTAGAGTACAGTTCATACGTTCATACAGAAAGTCTTGTAACAAATTTAAATAATGAGAAAATGAACAGAGATCCACTATTTGTAATAGATAATTTATTGTATTACAATAATATAGAAAAAGAAAGGTCAGACTTAGTCCTTTAAGTTTTCAAAAATATGCACAACACATGGCAGAAAATCATGTTGCATTTAAATGTTACTGATAAACTGATTACATTTTATTTTTAATAAATTGCTTGCAATGAGACTTACTGCAATGCGTTCCGCGTACAAATATAGGATGTAAACGGCCCTTTTAAGGTCTGTAAGGTGATCATGATCATATTTATATTTCGCAATATGGAAAAAATTGAAAAGCTAGAACGAAGTATCGCATATCTGGCCAAGCTACGTGTTTGCAGAGGCATTATGAAAAAAGGAAGCAGGAGGTGAAAGAAATATAAGAGTGAACGTGGAAGCTTCCCTTTGCAGATTTTTCGTGACAAGATAAGCAACGTCCTGTTTACTCTGGACTGCTGTAGCTGTGGCGTACGAAGATGCTCGTTAAGCCTTTTAGTACCGGCGTATCCTGCGAGCACCCACAAAGTCGTATATCACCCCGGAGTACCTCGGTTTGTGTTGGTATCTTTAACTAACCGCACGGAAATCCCTGCGAACAAGACAACGATTTTACATTAAGAGGTCTTTCTGGTGTGACATATACAAAAAATTATTTTTTTTTCTTTTGTTCTTTTTGTTTCATACTTTGAAAATAAATATATTTAAAAACGCACTATTACAATTTGGGATGGTTATTCGAATTATTTCAACTTTTACAGCCAATCTAAAGTGGCAGACATCATAGCGAAATCGAGCACATGTAAAAGCTTTCGGCATCGCAGCAACGGTAATCCCAATAAAAATCAATTTTTTTGTTTACATTTCCTTAAAGACATGTTTTTAAAAAATGATCTCTCCACATCTTACGGAGAAATACTTAAAATGATGCACTACGCTAAAATTCGGAAAAAGCCGTGAAACCCGTGCCCCCGAATGGTCGTACTAAATTTAACAATGAGCGTGACTCGTGATTTTGAAGTTGTGGCTAAAATTTTCATCACGAGTCCGACCTGTGAAAATAGTGCAAGGAGATAAAGAATTTTCCACGTAGCGATATCAACTGCGCGTTTGAACGCGTTTTTCTCGAAACACCATTTTTTCATCGGTTTGTCAACATACAAAAGATCTATCGAACCGATCTTTCTGAAATTTAAATATGTTATTCTGCATATCAGTGGCTGTCATTAGACTCACGACCATCTTTAACAATTGAAAATATCATTTCTTTTTTTAACATGATATGGTCGATTAAAAGTGAATATTTATTCTGCTTGATTTAGTAAACTATTTTTTGTTTCAAACAAACCGCCTTCAAAATAACTTGACAAAGATAAAGATGCCGACATCGACATCAACAGGGGCTATTTTAACGTTAGTATAAATCCACAAATAAGTTTTATAAAGTTCATACAAAAATATTTGTATGCTCTTCTCGAATATTATCGTTAGTAGAAAAACATTGGAATCGTTCCATATTTAATAGATGTTGAAAAAGATGTCTTAAGTATGCCGAATTTTTCGAATGCTACCCGGGAAAGATTATAATTAGTAAGAAACTGACTCAAACGCAGAAGGTCGGTAATATTTTAGCAGTGCAAAAGCACCGCTTATGCTTATTGTTTGTCGGATAAATATATTCACGTGGCGTGGCAAAACTATTTAGCAAATCCATTACGAGTAAAGATTTACAATTTACTATTCGCTATCGGTAACGTCCTGTTAATCATTGTTTATGTATAGAGGAAAGCGCATATGATCTTCTCAAGAGAGCAATAAAGATGGAAAGCGAAACAAAATTGTAGTATAAACGAGAGAAAGTCAAATCCAAAAGGATAAAGGTTGGGAGGAGTGAGAAAGAAAGAAAGAAGGATAGACATAAGAATGAAAGAGGAGAGAAGGACGTACACGGAGAATAACCAACTATACTTTCCGAACCGCAAGATCCAGGATCCGATATACGCGGCCGAGGTGAGGTACGAAGCAATAACTAGTCATGTCGCCCAGTAATTCAGTAGCCAATTAGTTAGACGGCGGCGGGAGAGTTGGCGAAGATGTCTATCTGGTCTCGTACGAGGCGGCACCAACAGCGAGCTGTAGCAGCATCCTGCACCATTGCACCTACACAAATATGTGCGCACTTACACATAATCTTATGAGCGGAGATCAGCACGAGTAGAAGGAACACCATGGAGTCCTGGCAAGGGGTCCATGTGGGAGGCAACCGTCTACATCCTAGAGAAACTGATTCAACGGTAATTTGATTTCTGTTTTCCTCCGACCAAGACCGAGATCCGAGACCGATCACAAAGATGTATCGGTATCGGAAACGGATGACACTGCTTTTAAAGTAGATGTTGTTAAAATTTCATACTTTTCGAGGTAGAATTCATCTCTTCGAACAAAATTGTCAAGCTTGTAATGTTCATTCTACGAATGCCATATCGTGTAGTCATGTGTAAACAAGTTTCAGACATCGTTTATTACGATGTAACGATCAAACGTTCACAGTTCAGACTCGTTTCATTTACAGTCTCGCAATCCAAGACATTTCATTGGAATCGCCTCGCCTAATCGATTATCGAGTCAAAGATGAAGCGGGCTGTGTTTGTACCTAGATGCAAACTGAGAAAGAAAGAGAATGAAAAGTAAACGAGATACACGACGTTTAGTTTTAAAAGGATACAAAACAGTCGCGCGCTAATGCAAATTTAAATTTTCGATATTTTCCATTATATCTTTACGGGAGTAATAAATATTAGTCCATTGCTGTAGTATTAGTGTATTAAATATTAGTAATAAATATTAGTCCATTACTGTAGTATTAGTGTATTAAATATTAATAATAAATATTAGTCAAACTACTTTTAACTGCAATTTATCCTATCGCTTCTGATTTAAAATTTGGCGGTAAGTGTCCCGATAAGGTGATGGTTCATTTTAGGACAACATTTACGTATACAAAACTTCCAAACCAACATATCGCTAATATTCACGCGAAAAAAACAAAACAATAGAACGAATAAAATAATTTTTTGGAAAAAAAATTTAACTGACTTCGAAAAAGGTGCAGTGAAAAGTATGAAATAATTTCTAGTCAATGTATATGAATATGCATTATCTCTAGATATAATTGCTGAAAACTATGGGAAAATGCAGTGAAAAGTGTGAAATAATTTCTATTTAAACTGCACTGTTATTCACCATCGTTTCATGAATTTGGTTAAATTATTAAATACATCATATTAAATGCAATGCACCTTTTTCGGAGGTGGTGCAGATGTAAAAAACTTTTTAATTCCGGTTTGGGTTAGCTTTTGGTAGAGGCGGCAATATTGAATGCTGTCAATGTATACATGTTTATTGTCTATGTGGAATTAATAGTTAATGTATATAGTATGTACACGGAAATGTAGTTTGAGTAGACTTGGGGTTTTTTGGAGGGGAGGGTCGGCAATATTGATTACTGCTAATGTATAGACCCTCCCCATGGAAATACTGTATAAATAGGTTTGGGATAGTGTTGGTGGGAGCAGCGATATTGAATAGTGTTAATGAATATGATGTTTAAAGTGGATGAAACGATAACAATAATTAAAGACCATATTTTTTGTTTGTCCGACAGAAAGTTAAACCAAGTTTGGCAATTTTGAATATACTTAATTTCAAA